TGCAATGTTATAGGTAAATTAGGTGAAGAAAGGAGAAAGAGGAGATGATTTTAACTACTGAATCAGGTCTTTTAAAGACAAACACATTTAGCTGATTTTGTAAGATAAAAACTGCCTGAATTTGCAGATATTGTCTTCCGTATGCACATGAAAACCCGGAAAGATCACTGACCGGACCGTGCGAATACAGCAATGGAACAATGGAAAACTGGGAGCATTCGTTCTGTCCGTCGAAATATAGCTGGATACCCATTGCTGTTATGATATTCTACCTCGCATTCTTTTCTATAGGTATTGGACTTTTTCTTCCCGCCTTCTTTTGTTCTAAAATAGAACAGGGCAATCCGTGAAGTCCACGTTCAAAGTTCGTAAGATGCATACGGTTTTGTGGAATTTTTTATTCTAACTCGTTCCTGCCAGTTTGCTTTTCTCCCTTTTAGCGTCTGGGCACTCACTATTTTAATGCTTCACAGGCTGGCTATTTGGTCGTCCCCTTTCTTTGCACTGTTGGTTTTGCTGATAATGTTTTAATTTTTTAGAGTCTTCGGGTTTGCAGCACTCGCGTAGTTCTGTAGTGGTGCTGAGGGTAAATTTACCCGATTCTCAGGCGTTCCCTTCGCATACTATTTAGCCTCGCAAAGGTACTACTCTGCGGTATGCTTCAAGTATCTCTTAATAAAGTAGCATTATGAGCGAGTTCGAACTGTCGCTGTGTTTCTATCTTTAGATACACTAATGAGACGGATTTTTTGGATTTCGCTCTACGGTACTGATGCGTTTTGGTTGGAGCAATATCCTTCAAAAAAATTAGCCGCAACTGATAAAGGCAAAACTCTGTGTTGACTTTTTCTTTGAACAAGTAGGGAATAACACTTGTGAAGCAACTAAAGTTAGCGCAACGGCTGCAACAAATACAGGAATAAACTCATAATTTGTCTATTTTAACAATTAAATAGTGAAAAACCGATGAACATGCATTCAAAGTGAAAACCATTCGGTGCTGTGACAGAAAAATTTCAGGATACGCACCACTGCCATGGGTACTCAACGCAGAATTCTATCCACTCTGGGCTCGGAGTACCTGTTGTGCACTGTCAACATGCTCAAACTGGACATTCAATTTGGTCATTTCACTTACGTTTTTGTCTCTTACACAAGCTGCAACGAAATACGGTAGGCGAATTTGTCACACATTCTTTGGAATATGTGCGTTTTGGAATTCAGCAAATAATTCTGCCACCAGCCTACAGTTACCCTATTCAGCTGCTGAGATAAAATTTGTTCAGTTACGTTATTTTGACAAAAAAAAGTACAGGCTTGAACTTTTGGGAAAATTGTCTTTCAAATAGTCTTTGTCACATTCTGACAGGCCCAGATTTAAGTCATGACCCTAACTTATAAAGATTATAAAATTCCGGAATACTTCGCCAAATAATTCAAGACAAATAGCTTGAGAAAAAATTGCAATCCTCATTTTACTTCAAATTATTGAAGTCGTTCAAATCTAAATTAATTTTGTATTTTAAGGAGGATAAGTCAGAACCATGAAGTTTTGAAGTTCATAGCGAATTAAGTAGTTTGCGCTAAATTTTTATGCTTTTTTCGCAGCTATG